CTCCCTTAACTGTTTGTGTGAGACCGCCGCAAATTCTTTCGATCTCCCTTACCTTTACCAAATTAAATAGATTACTTATTATTACTAATTGTCCAACATTTATAATATCGATAATGATAATATTTAAATAATTTGTTATATAAATTGATTGTTTCTATGTAGTTTTCATTGTCTTCATTTTCGAATATTCTTTGAAAATTAATATACAAATTACATTTACGTACCCATAAGCATATGAACATCAACAAAATAATAAACTTTGAGCCCCATAACTTTTCATGGGGGTGAGACCGCCGCAAAGTTTTTATGGTACAGTGGTGGGGGAGACCTCTTTCAGGGATAATCTAGCCCTTTACCAATTATTAGTATAGATGATTTCAATCGATTACACGCTCGAATCTACAATTCTAAAATTATTTTCGAATAGGGGTAGTTTACACTCATAAAAAATAAAAAGCAACCTCCCAGCACAGTGTCAACTTTGAAGTTGAGGGTAAGCAGAGCCTAAATCCAAATTTTTGTGCTAGTTGATGCTGTTTGGCAAAATTCTACAGTATCGCCGCATTTTACCTCCATTGACTTAACTATGCGGCTGATCAAATCGGATGCGCATTGCCCCACTGAGCAGCGGCTTGGCCCGCCTTCTCTGTGTACAACTTACGCGTCCCTCTGCTCCTCTCAAATCTTTATGATTATGAGTTATGACTTATGTGCTTATGTTCACTTTATTTGATTGCACACTGCACTTAAAGCGGTGTAACCTGTAACCCATGTGCAATTCTCGGGAAGTAAATGAGTTTACTGTACTATTCCTATCCTGTTAACTGTGCATGCATAAAGCAGGAAGAGATACATACTCTTTGTTATCAAGAAACACATTTCAGATGGACTTGCTTACTTTAATTCTATGATATCGATAAAGTAAACACATTCTCCCAATAATTTTGCAGTAGCTCTCTCTCATGATCAACGAAAATTTCTGAATCGTCTCAATAAATTGTACAATGTGTAGAAAAAACTTAAATCATCATATCATACAAAATGTATGATTTTATTATCTTCAGAATAGCCCAATTTTATATCATTATAGATTATGATGATGATTATTATTATTATTGTACAGATTATCGGTTTATTTCTTTTTTTCATAAAGATAAAACATATTAAGAAAACAGATAAATTGTTTCTGCAAGTCAGCATTACAATGCTTATTAGTAAACAATTCGTTATCTTAAAAATATTGTCCAACTCGCCTAGGAACAATTATCGTATATGTTATGTTGCGCTAGTGAAAGAAATATCGCTCTTTTGTAACATGCGTAGGTCCTAGTTTTAAATTTTGACGTATTTTTATTAAAAGTGTTAGTGTACGTTTTCTTTGTTTTACTTTGAACTTATTGTTTCCGTAATGCTAAACGATGTTGATGCAAATCTATCAGAAATGGGCCACAGCATTAAAAATGAATGGAAATTTAGGTATCTGTAGTATATATATTTATAATAATTGTACAAATGATTTTTGATTGGTCCTATACTTATAATCTATAGCACATTCTTTTACTTTTTAATAACACAAAAAATTGTCAGTTGAAAAAGTTTCAAGAAATAATTGTCCACTGAAAATTCGTAGTGCAATTTTAATCCAGCAAAAATCAATAACACAATCTATAAATTAAATTAAAACAAAAAAATTCATGTGCAAAATGAGCCGTAGTTGGAAAGCAGGTTATTATTATTGTTGTTATAGTTATTTATTGGCAGTTTATTTTCTGTTCTTATTATTTTATAGGGAATTTTATAATTATAGGGGATATGAAAATTAAATTTTGCGAATGTGGTATGACAACATGCTTATTACTATTTTTAAGGCGTTTTTGAGAAACTAATTTTTCAGGTGGCGCCGCGCCGCCAAGCCATGCTATTTTTTAAATGAAATGGGAGATCAAAATTCGGCTTATTCAAAAGATATTTTCAAGCTAAATGCGCTCCTAAAGTATTTTTCAATTGTTTAAATTTTTTTAGTGATTATAGCCATTTAAATTTTTGACTAACGATTAACAAAAGCTGTGTTGTTAGTTGTTGACCGTTGGATGTTGACTCTCAAGTACCACCCTTACTAATTAAAATTGCTCCTTGAACTGATCGGCGGATTGAATACGCAAAAAAATTACTGACGTCACAGTTGTTGTGCTGTTATTTTTTATTTTTGTCTGTTTTATCATTGCTGATGAGAGCACTTTCTTTTTAAATGGAAACGTTCTTAAATGAGTAAAATATGCGTTATTGGAGTGGTACTAATCCAATATGGTTTTGGGATGCAGCAATGTTTGGGTTCTTGGTCATCGTTGAAAAAATTTTGATGGTCCACTGCCCATTGTATTTACATTTGTTTCAAAATTGAAATTATGCTAGCAGTTTGTTGAACAAATTGTGAATAATAATCCGAAAGAGTTTATTGAAATAATGGAGAAGGTGGTTCCAACTAGATGGTGCTTAACCCCACTATTTTCGACTGGTGCGGGATTTTTTGTCAGAACATTTTCCAAACAGAATAGTACATTACGTATCGAGGGAAGAAACAGGGTTTTTTTGGCTCGGATGGCAAACATGCAGTCTGAGACAACCCTGTTTCTTCCCGAGGTACGTATACTATTTTTTGTCATGTTTGTGCGGAAAGCTCGTCATTAAATTGACAGTTGGTGATATAAGAGTAAATGATTTAGAGATTAGAAAGTCATTGAACAACTGATTTCTGCGCATGCCCATAAACTTCAGCGCATGCGCTCAAAAGACTTATTTCATTGCCTCCCGACTAAAACACGGCTGAAAAGAGGCCATTTCTTCCCTATTTCATAGCACGCAAAATGAGCTTTCCGCGCTAACATGACAAAAACATATAATTCAGAGGCTTGCTTAAAATGGCCAGCCAGTTCACCTGATTTAACCCCACATGGGGATATTTGAAATCGGAGGTTTTTGCTACGAAGACATTCTTAATATTATTAGCTTACTCGAATTCGCCTGTGTAGAAGTTTTGTCCACAAATTCACCATATTGTTTAAGTCATTAGCATCGCAAAGGTATTTTTCGCTTTTTATCATCATTAGGACATCATGTCTCCTCTTTAATGATGGACCTGGTCGAATCTTTAACTATTTTAAGTAAACCAATTTTTTTTTTCGTTCGAAGTCACCGAAAAAAATTCTCTCCATAAATATTACCTGACAAAGACGAGAAGTTTCCACAATAGCTAGCTGCATTGGATTCACAGTTATCAATTTTTGTCGGAATTATTCATTTTTGGTGATGTTTTTGAAAATCCTGTTCTGGATTAATTTTGTCGATAGTGTCAATACTGCTTTTTTGTACTTTTAATTACGAATACATCTATTAAGGACTATTATATCTCTTGTTCCTTACAAACGAGTTGCATTGTTTAAAAGAAAAATATTTCCCTTAGCGTGATAATTTTAAATAGTTCTGTAATATAAATTAATTTTTATTGCAATAAACTTTTCAAAAAAAAAAATGTTAGATACACTGTATCTTAAATGCATAGAGTTTGGGTTAATCTTTGAATAATAATCATTCCGGAAAAGCTGCGTATGTAGTGTTCCATTTTTTTAAGTTATCAGTGCAAGGTCATTTTAGGTGACCTATTGGAATATTAAATTATTCTTTTTTAAAAGGAGATATCAACTAATAGAATGAGTTGTTTTTATCAGATTGATAAATTTTATAACTATTTGAAATCATAAAATGGTTCAAACATAATTTATTACGTTCAGGGAGAATTTGTATAAAATAGAGAAATTTCGGCAAAAAACAAAGACTAAAAAATATCTAGCAGTGCTCTATAGTCGCGCAACATTTGCGCGAGCCACCTGATGTACAGTTCTATCTCCAAATATATGTATTAAACCACGCGGGCAAAGTCTCGGATGTCAATTAGTTAATAAAACATTACAATGAATCCGAACAGCAATCAATGATTACATTTGATTGACGGAAAAGATCTTCACAGATTTGTTAGGGCAATAAATGATAAAATAAAACATAATCTGTATGTAAAATTACTGTGATGATACTTTTCTGCTTGTTGCGCACATAAAAAAAATGGTAAAGGTCTAGATGATGGCTCTCACCCCCAAAGGGGGTGGGGGTGGGAGGAATCGAAAGAGGTCTCCCCCACCACTGTACCATAAAAAATTCGTGGCTGTCTCACCCCCATAAAAAGTTATGGGGGTTAGATGGGGGTGGGGTAGGGGGGATCGAAAGAGGGTGGTCACCTGAGTAAAACCCCATAAAAAATTTGCGGCGGTCTCACCCCCATAAGAAGTTATGGGGGTTGAAAGTTGATTATTTTGACTCTTTTCATACACTATAATTCAAATAAAATTCAATAAAACATTTACTTTTAAGCGGGTGGAGGTGAGGGATCGAAAGAGGGTGCTCACTTGAACAAAACCCGATAACCTAACCTACCCTATTGATAAAGATATTTAAATAATGTTTTACATAATTTTCTAAATATTTTTATGTATTTTTCATTAGTTTTACCTTTGAATATTGTTTAAGAATGACTATATAAATATTTACATGCCTAGAAATGTATAAAAATTGGCATATTTATTAACTTTGAACCCCCATAACTTTTTAGGGGGGTGAGACCGCCATGAATTTATTTATGGTTCAGTGGTGGGGGAGACCTCCTCTTTCGATCCCCCCACCATCTAGACCTTTACTAAAAAATAACTTGGACTCTGGTATTAAACGTTTATTAAATTCCTTTTATTAAATTAAATTTAATCAAAATCCAAAGATTTTGCACGACAACCTTTCATCATCATAAGGTCGTCAGTCCTAAGACTGGTTGGACACGTCCTCCACCTCCTCCTCACTATCTTTAAAAAATCGGACAATCCAGGTGAAAATTATACAGGTGGCAACCCGAACTAATTTTTAGCCTCACTTTATGTTTAAAATACTTATTACCTAATAGATTAATTTTTTAATGAGTACTTCATGTTTTCATGGTACTCGTGAGAAAAAAGTTTTTTTGGCTCGGATGGCAAACATGCAGTCTGAGACAACCCTGTTTCTTCCCGAGGTACGTATACTATTTTTTGTCATGTTTGTGCGGAAAGCTCGTCATTAAATTGACAGTTGGTGATATAAGAGTAAATGATTTAGAGATTAGAAAGTCATTGAACAACTGATTTCTGCGCATGCCCATAAACTTCAGCGCATGCGCTCAAAAGACTTATTTCATTGCCTCCCGACTAAAACACGGCTGAAAAGAGGCCATTTCTTCCCTATTTCATAGCACGCAAAATGAGCTTTCCGCGCTAACATGACAAAAACATATAATTCAGAGGCTTGCTTAAAATGGCCAGCCAGTTCACCTGATTTAACCCCACATGGGGATATTTGAAATCGGAGGTTTTTGCTACGAAGACATTCTTAATATTATTAGCTTACTCGAATTCGCCTGTGTGGAAGTTTTGTCCACAAATTCACCATATTGTTTAAGTCATTAGCATCGCAAAGGTATTTTTCGCTTTTTATCATCATTAGGACATCATGTCTCCTCTTTAATGATGGACCTGGTCGAATCTTTAACTATTTTAAGTAAACCAATTTTTTTTTTCGTTCGAAGTCACCGAAAAAAATTCTCTCCATAAATATTACCTGACAAAGACGAGAAGTTTCCACAATAGCTAGCTGCATTGGATTCACAGTTATCAATTTTTGTCGGAATTATTCATTTTTGGTGATGTTTTTGAAAATCCTGTTCTGGATTAATTTTGTCGATAGTGTCAATACTGCTTTTTTGTACTTTTAATTACGAATACATCTATTAAGGACTATTATATCTCTTNCTATTCGTAATATATTTATTATTTACTAGATTTTTATTATTTTTTCTGGATAAAAGGTATCTTATGTCCTTTTCCGTACCCCTGACAATGTGTCTACAAAATTTCATGATATCGATTGGGTAGTTAAGGCGTGAAATCGATCACATAAAACTAATTTTTTCTATCCCTCGGGAACAATTCATTTTCTAGATAAAAGGTACTCTATGTCCTGTTCTGTACCCCTGACAATGTGTCTACAAAATTTCATGTCGGTGGATTGAGTAGTTAAGACGTGAAAAACCTACAAACAAACAAACTCAATACAATCATGGAACATTCGTGATTATTTACGGAAACTTCTCTTGAGTTCCGCGTATGATTTATAACAGCGGCTGGCAGCTTTCACCATTGCTATCAGAGTTGCCACGGTATAGATTGTCGCCTGCGGCATTTGTTCATAACGATATTTGTAAATGTGAAAGATATTTCCAGCAAAATGTACTCCAAAGCTTTACTCTGAAGACTATAACAGTTATCATGTATGTGCCTAAAATGCTGTCATTTTTTAACCGCTGATTTTCACGCTGCAAACATTAAATTAATTCACACAAATAGAAAGTTTTGCAAGCAATAAAACAATAATATAATAAAAGCAGTTAATATGTTGACGCTATTTATCTTCGAATATTGCCAATTTGGATACGTTTAAAGGAAAAAAAAATTTTGGGGAGATGTACGGAAGCTGATGGTGTTCAATTTTTATGAAAAATTAATTGTTGCAAACCGTATCTCGTTATCTATCACCGTGTTGGAGATACCTCTATAAGTAGATAACTTTTACTGCCGAACGTTTTTTATTTCTGTAAAAACATCTTTGAAGCACTTTGTTACGTAGAATTCAATGGTGTACTGTTCTGAAATTAATATTGTTACATGTAGGCAACCCACTATACGCGAAGAAGTGTTAAGATACTTATAGTGGGTTGCCTAGCTCGCGCTAGTAGCAAAGAAAACGAGAGTCTCTAAACCCCCATTATCCTGAAATCATTCTATAATAAGTCCAGCCCCTAGAAATAGTTGTCGCGTGATCGAAAGAGGACAGTTTAGGTTGCGAAGAAGGTCAAATAAGAAGAGCGAAAAAGTAGTGAGTAAGTGATTAATTATTCATAGTAGTAGGTATTAATAAGAAAAATAAATTAGTAATGCGAAAGGTGTTTTATTACGCCACGGTATTTTATTGTTAGTTGTAAACAATTAATTTTTTTAGGGTGCTCAAAATTACCTTTTCAAATGTATATATAAAACACTTAATGTTTCCCAAGCCACTTTTATATTTCTTTATTTTCAAAAAACACAACATACAAACATCACTAAACTTAACTTCCATGAACGTTAATCTTTCGGGAAGATTAAAAATTATTACTTATAAATTGCCAGAAAAAAAGGATTAGAAATTGCTCCAGTGCAAGTTTTTGTATCTCTGACTCCAATTGGTTAATAAATTCGGCAAGAAACATTCAAAAGAGATGTCGTTTACGCAAATAAGAACTTAGACGACAGTTCGAACACCTTCTGTGTAAGTGGTTTGTTGTATGTTGTTATTGTTTTTTACTTATTGTTGGTTTGTTATTGTTTAAACTGATACGACGTTGAAGAATTGTTACACTAATCGTAAATAGAAATTTTAAATAGTACCTACCTGCTTTTGTTGTAATGTGTCCGAGTTTGTTGTTTGTGTCCAAAACCTATCTGCCAAAATTAAGGTATACGAAATCTGTAGAGTGCTTTTTTTAAATGCTTTGGGAAAAACATCAAGTGTTTTATACATGTATCTGAAAAGGTAATTTTGAGCACCCTTAAAATGTGATAAAATATACGGGACGTTCCATATACATACAAAATAAATGTACGTATTGTTAACAACTAGAATATTAATTGCAAAACAATTCACCTTTCATCATTGAAGTCTGCATAATAAGAAAGTGCTTTGGTGATGTATTCACAGAAATAAAAATTTTCGTCAGGGAAACAGTTATAGAGGTATTTTGAAAATTCATATTTTCGGTTTGCACCAATTAATTTTTTACAAAAATTGAGTTTCAGACACTGACATAAGTTTACGTCCTTCTCTCTTAAAAGGGACAATTTTTCCTTTAAACCTGTCCAAATTATGTACATCCGTATTTATTTATTTTAATGTATGGGATTATACAATATATATGTGTGTGTGTGTATATATATATATAGATAGATAGATTTGCTTGCCTTGTTATACATGTATATCCGTTCCGTTGTAAATATCATTAGTGATGCACCAGTAGGTTAGGTTAGGTTAGGTTAGAATAGGTTGTACATACATATCTAGTTGTTTCTGTCTTTCCCTATGTATATATACTGTCTGTAAATAAATCTCTTTAATANAAAAAATTTCGTTTAAATGGCAGCACAATTAAATAAGGGTCGAATTGTAAAAAGTTATAGGAAAATGTTGTTCAGAATGCTAATTTCAAAGCTTTTGGGCCATTTGACTAAAAAAAAAAACATTTGAATATTGACGCGATTTTTTTTTGCGTAGTCCCGTATTTTGGCATTCTAACAACCTTTGGCTTTTTTCGATCGGACCAATATTTAATTGTGCTGCCATTTAAACGAAGTTTTTTTCTGTTTTTGAACATTTTATTTAATAAATCAAATTTAGTTGCTACATACGATGATGTATATGTACCTTATTAAAATGGGTAATAAATTTTCGATTATACTTTATTTATACAGTTTGGTCACAATGACCATATTGTGTATTTTTGTACCACCCTGTATGTATTATTTAAGAACACCGTCAGGATATGCCCATTTGAGATAAAACATACACAATCGTCATGTAATTCCTCTTTTAATAAAATTAATAAATGCACCGTACACGATAGATATTATTTATATTTTAAGTTTTTGAGCGGTACTGTACTCTGCAAATAACCACATAATATATGTATACCTACTTGGATTTAATAATAATGAATGCAAGAAAATGTGCCAACTCACCTATGTAGGCATTCGTATTTACAAGCATTACAAGTTTCATTAATGACAATGACATGGTGAACGCAATGATTTGCACTTTTTGTTGTTAATACATTTTTTACGTAGCTTTCTACAAATTATTTAATTATCCTATATTTTATTTACCGTTAACCTCCAAAGTGGATTTTTTAAAAACTTTTCAATTAATGCTAAAGTAGAGCCGCAAAATGTTATTCTTCTTAATACATACACTCAAAATTGAGATGATTTTAATAAATTTGTTTTTTGTTGGAAATAAAATGACTGAAAACGTATTTATTTATAAAAGAAGTAAAACCTAGAAACATTTTTATGTTAATATTTATTACTTATTATAATAATTAAAAAAATATTTAACTGCTTTTTACAAAAC